AAGAGTGCAGAGAAGAGCAACAAAGATGATTAATTGTTCTGTCAGGAAATTTCTCCTCAGTTCTACCCTCAGGTGCCTTGGAAAATAGTTTGATTCCCTCTTCTTTGTGGCAACCCCTGAGATATTGGAACACTGCTATCATGTCTCCCCTAGTCCTTCTTTCTATTAAACTAGACATATCCAGTTCCTGCAACCATTCTTCATATGTTTAGTCTCCAGTCCCCTAATCATCTTTGTTGCTCTTCTCTGCACTCTTTCTAGAGTCCCAAGGCCTTATAAAGTGGTATTAACCCTTCACATGATCTTGATTCTATCCCCCTGTTTAACACAGCCTAGAACTGTGTTGGCTTTTTTGCCAGCTGCTGCACATGGATGGCTCCTATTTAAATGGTTGTCCACTAGGACTCCAAAATTCCTCTCACAGTTACAATTATTGAGTGAGGTACCAATTATACTTATACCTTTGCATTTGATTTGTCTTGCCTAAAGTTGAGCCTTATTTTGATATGAAATTCAAAAGATCTTATATGGATCTTTTGGACAACTGTTTATTTCACTTCTTTATTTCCCCCTCTACTGCTTTTCAAGAAAAAAAATATTAAAACGTATTACTATTACCATTTATAAATAATTGTTTTTAATCAGTTCTGAGATGCATTTATATTTTAACATACAGATATTCAATCAATAATTTAAGCTGTAAGCATCTGGATAAAGTATCATGAATATTACCTGCCATGACTGGATTTTGGCAATCCTCTTCCCAAGACTCATTATGGCTGGTTGCACACCTGATCCATACATTGCATGCAATGCATGTGCCACAGCATAAACAGCATTGTATATATTGTAACTCTTAGCCATCATGCTCATTTCAAAAATATAGGATGGCAGACTCTGCAAATTCTCCTTTCCTGTGCATGCTTTTATCCTGTTTTGAGGGACCTCTCCTGCTTTCTGGATTTTACAGTCAAAGATAGTTTCCCACCACATTGGGAGATAGACGTCCTCTTGTGGGTTCAAAGGGTCTAAAGACAGGAGTAGGCGGCTGAATTCTAAGACATCCCTAGTGAGGTCCCTAAACTGCAAAGCCCCATGGAAGGGCTTTACAAGTTTCAATAAATGTTGAGATCTTATCATACTAAGTTTCCAATGGGAAGTTAAGATCCAAACTTTTTGAAAGGTCGTCTTTTGAAATTCTTCATACGAGAAAAGAAGCATTTGAACCTTTTTAATACTATTGGAATCCCCAAACAGAATGATCACTTCAGCTTTATGCCAACTTTTTAAAATATGAAGAAATGTCATCAATAATACAAGAGGATCACCAGTCTTCAACATTTCAGTGAAGGCCAGGCAGATTTCCTTCTCCTTGAGCATTGGCACCAGAGATGAGATGAAATGTTCTCCACTGTCATCGTCAAGACCCAGAAGCCCAACCCAGTTCCACTGGAAATACAGGAGCAGCTGGACTAAACCCACATACTGCTGAAACTCCTGGGGATTAATCCGGAAGAAGGAAGGATAAACTCTTCTATCTCCCTGAGAGAACTCAAAGCCAACACCAAGCTGGAGAAAGTGAGATTCTTCTTTAAAAGAGAAAATAAAATGTTATGGTGACTTTATGGGTCACCATTATGTGATTTATAGCCCCACCAGTCAGGCTGACTCAACTTGAGTAGCAAGCTTAAATTTCACCCTTCTTAGGAAGAGTCACCAGTTACATATTTTGCCTGGTTATGACAGGTCAAAAGACAAGGAAACGAACCATCAACTCATACAGAGAGTAAACTGCAGTGAGAACGCTTATGAAGAATAAGTTAGGAAGGATTTTTTTTTGGCAAGTAGAGTGTTTCAGAATTATATCATTATTTGCTCTTCTTTGGAGTTATATAAAACATATCTTGAGACATTAAATATAAAAATGAATTCAATTATATCACATAGTCTTCATGTGCCCCAAAAGTCTTTGGTTTCCACTTTATGTACTTCCCTTGTTTGTCTACTCCACATTGCATCCTATGGAGTCCCCTTACCTGTGGGACCTGGAAGAGGTTGAAGATGGAGGCCATCTGCCTTGAGGATTTGGAGTTGAGACCTCCGATGACAGAGAGCAGAGGGTCTTGCCTGTCACATTTATAACCTGGAACCATTTGGCCTCGTGTGGAGAGCAAGGAGAGGCTGATTGTGGAAATACTCCACCCCATTTGGTGATTGTCATAGAAGTGGAAGCCCAAGGTGATGTTAGGGAGAAGAACCAGATCCTTATTCACCTCCGTGACAGCAAACACCAAGGCCATGAACTGCTGGTAATTTTGGGGTATGGGTCTAAAGTGAGAAAAGCATTGGGGAAGATGACAGGAAAGCTCATGAGTTCTGGTGGGATTACTGGGATTACTTTGCCTTTGTTCTTTTTTTGCATTTTGTTTGGAGTAGCAAGTCCAAAATATTTTTTTTCCTTTCATGTAATTTGATTGGTCTTGTGAGAAAGGAAATAAGCCTGTCTTTCCACATCTCAGATCATTTTAATAGATTAACAGATTAACAGACTTGGAAGGGACCTTGTAGGTCATCCAGTTCAATCCAACCCCACCCAAGCAGGAGACCCTACACCATTTCTGACAAATGGCAGTCCAATCTCCCCTTGAAAGCTTTCAGTGATGAAGCTCCCACAATTTCTGAAGATAACCTCTGTTCCCTTAGTTGGTTGTTCTTGCTGTCAGAAAATTTCTCCTTATTTCTAGGGTGAACCTCTCCTTGATCAGTTTCCATTCATTATTCATTGTCTGGCCTTCGGGTGTTTTGGAAAATAGCTTGACTCTCTCCTCTCTGTGGCAGCCTCTCAAATATTTTATACCTTTCTATTATCCTCCTTCACTTGCCTCCAGTGACTGCAGTCCTTCCCAATTGCTCTTCAAGCATCCTAATTAATTTGGTTGAGCAGATAATTCAGGTCTGGTAACCTTGCTGAGCACAAGAATCTAATGGAGATAATATTATAGATTTACTAAAGGTGGATTGTTCATGAGGACTTCTGATTTTAAGTGAGATTTGTTTGTTTGTTTGTTTTATTTATTTATTACAAATTACAAAACCACACTCTGGAAAATAATTGACATTTTCTTTTTGTTTTCTATCATGACTTTCTCTTCATATGAATATTATATTCAAAATCTTTACTAAGCCAGCACAGTTCCTTATATGTTGTTCCTTCTCACTTTTTATAATAAATTTTAACATCTTCCTGTGATGGACTGTGTGGCTCACAAGCAGGAATTAAAATATGCTAAAATATGCCCTTCCCAAAAATATTGCAACACAGCAGCATTCGTGAGGTGACTATGCTTGCCGCCTCTTGCACCTCAAAAATAATAAGACATCTCTGAAAATAAGACCAAGTGCTAATTTCAGGGGTGAAAAGAAAATAAGACCCTGCCTTATTTTCGGGCAACCACAGTAAATAAAACAAAATCTTGTCTACTATTCCTGCAATAAGTTAGCAGAGTCATTTCAGATTTTTAACTAAATTAGAATTAAAGATACTGTCAATGTTCAGGCTTATTTTGCCAAAAAATCAGAAGAAAGGTATTTATATCTTTTTTTTTTACTTCAGATTTGCTGAAATGAGCATTCACAGCTATCAGGATGTCTAGATTATTCCTTTATATTATATTATAAATGGAAGAAGTTACAGATGTTATTTTCTTGGGCTCCAAGATCCTTGAAATGGTAGCTTTTAATCTAATTTTTAAAATTTTATTGTTAATATTAATTGGGCTTGTTTTTGGATACTTTATTTAATTTCCTTTTTAAATTTTGTAATATGTGTTTTTTTATGTTGTATGCCACCCTGAGTCCTTTGGGAGAAGGGCAGCATATAAATCCAACAAACAAACGAACAAACAAAGCTGCAGCCATGAAATCAAAGGATGCTTGCTTCTTGGAAGGAAAGATATGAAAAACCTAGACAGTATATTTAAAAGCAATGGCATTACTTTGGTGACAAAGGTCTATATAGTAGTAATGCATGGCTGTGAGAGTTGGACCATAAGGAAGGCTGAGCATCAAAGAATTGATGCTTTTGAATTGTGGTCTAGGGGAAGATTCTGAGAGTCCCTTCAACTGCAAGGAAATCCAATTAGTCAATCCTAAAGGAAATGAACTCCGACTGGAAGGACAGATCCTGAAGTTGAAGCTCAATTACTTTGGACACCAAACAAGAAGAGAGAGGATTCCTTGGAGAAGACCCTGATGTTGGGAAAGATGGAAGGGAAAAGGAAAGCGGATGTCAGAGGAAGAGATGGTTAGATGGTGTTCCTCATGGAGTGGGCATGACTTTGGGTAGACTCAGAGAGACTGTAGAGGACAGGGAAAGTTGGTGTGCTGTAGTCCATGGGGTTGTAAAGAGTTAGATGTGACTTAGCAACTGCACAGCAACAACAATAATCATCGTCCTGATCAAGAATTCTGAAGGACTGAGAATTCTAGCCTATTTTATGAGTTTGGCCCTTTATTGGGAAGAACACAAGGAACTGAATTATGATACAACATTGCTAACATCACTAGAACAACTACTTCTGAAAAATGACCCTAAACACACAAGAAATAAAGTAATCATCCACACCTTTCCCCTCCTGATGAAACTTACAAAGTAGAAATAGGAAGCAGCAAAGGATATATTTGAAACTCGAGGCTCCTGAAGGGAAGAAATGTATTCAGAGGCAAATTCCCACCAACAATGAGATCACCTGGCCTGTAAGAGTGTTTCAGAAAGTTGAGATGTTTGTTCAAGGTGCATTTGGTTTCCATCCTCTTAGCAGTAGGTGGAGGCAGGAGCCAGAAAAGCAGCAGCAGCAGGTGAGGCAGCCCATTCATTCTTCTCCGCTCTCCTCCTAGATCGGAAACCAAGTTCTATGCAGAACCCTGCAGGTAGCCCTTCAAAACTCACTCCAGCTTTAGCACAATAGAGACAAGTCCTACCACCTGGATGTATCCAGGGCAAAGTTATTCCAGCCAAGCTTTTTCTTACCTATGTTTGGGCTGTGACCAAAGAGAAAACTGAGGACAGCTGAGTCTCACCAAACAAAGGAGTTGGTGCTTTGCAAGGCGAGGAAATGTGACATGTTCTTCCGCCACTGGGGAATAGCTGGAGTATATTTTTTAACACTGATTATTTCCTGGAATGCTCTCCTGGGTAGAAACCCACAAGGGAATAATGAAGAATTACTGTTCATAGGGTAATTGCAAGGAAAAGCAACAGCAGATGGTGCCATTCCAGATAACTGCCCCTGGGCAAACCCAGGGACTGGGACCGCCACAGGATCCAGGAAGTCTTAAAAAGCACCTTGAGAATGGCTGCCGAACTCCGCCGCTCCGAATGCCTAAGAAAAAGAAGACACTAACCGCGGCGCCCAGGGCCCCCAACATGGTAACGGAGGGGTTCCTTTTGGGCNAAAATCAGGAATAAATAATAACAGACAATATAATACGAGTGTGGATTCAGATCTTGATTTTTGTCATTTATAAACCTTCCTGTCACAATGTTCTAATTCTGATTTAGGGGTGTTGGGCTGCAGATTCTCAAATTAGGAGCCACTGTAAACAGGTAGAGAAAAATTATTATGGATTGCATTAACACAACAAAAACAACAACTGAAACTCTCATTGTTGGTGACTGAAGTAGAAAAAGTGATTGCAGTCCATTTTTTAAAGAGGCAGTGGGTTTCATCACACTTCCTAATGTTGGAAAAAATGTCCTTCTGGGTTCAGTTCCAAGTGGGGAAAAAGACATTGGAAACATGGCGGCTGCTTGGAAAGATGGTTTTAATGGTGGACAGGATCACATGGTTTGAGGTCATGGGGGGAAAGGTGATCACATGCTTCAAGATGTTGGGTGAAGAAAAAAAAAGGGGGGGTGAGATGCTGAAAGTCCCTGATTTTATGTCCTCTGTTGGGCCCTGCCCGAGAGCCTCCTGCTCCTGTGCAAGAAATGCACTGATTGGCGGTCAGACTCCCATGGGGCCGTATAGGGGAAACTCTGTAGGCTGGTTGATGCAATCCTCCCAAGTACCATGCGGTGAGATGGGTAGAAGGCTAATCTTACCTTTGTTATGTAGAATACACTGGCCCAAGCCTTAATGGCTCATTGACAAAGGGGGCAGTCAGGAAGCTGCAGGGAGCTACTTTCTCTTTAAAAACATGTTTCTCCCTTTTCTCATCCAGGGAAATATAATATCCTGCCTTTTTAAATATTTTCTAGGATAGTTCATTCTTCTAGGAGAGGGGTGGGTGCTAACTTCCTTCACTAAAAAAGAAGGGCTGAAGCACAGATGTTAATGAAAGGTTTTGATTTGATTCACAAATGCAGTGAAATTGAGAAATTCACTTGGATCAATTCTAGTGAGCCCATACGTAAGAAGAAAACACAGCATCATTTAAACTTCTTGATAAGACTTTTTTCTTGGTGCTTTTTTTTTTTACATCAGATATGAACTGAATACTTCCTGTGCCACAAGTAATTTGGCTAGCATCCAAAGAGAGGTGACCCCACCCCACCCACCCCAACCAAAAAAAAAAAGGAACAAAGTCAGAATTCTTAGTGGTGGTTTCTTGGTTCTTTGTTTTGAACAAAGACAAGTAGAATACAGGCTTTGGAATCTTTTAATCTCCACTGATTCTGTTTATGCTTAAGTTGTGGACATTTGAGACATGTGGGAATGTAAAAAATGTCTTGCAGAAGCCAAACTTTCTCACTTAGCCATGCAGTGTTTTGCAGATTTTTATCTAGATTTCCAAAAAGAGAGAGCGGAGGGAAAGGGGGGGGGAATCCTCTAGCCTTGTTCTCATTTCAGAAGAGAAACTGAACTAGTTGCTGCTTGTTCAAGTAGTCTATTCTCATAAATTGTTTCTATTGGCAAAATGCTGAGGGACAAGTCCAAACAAAGCTTATGGACTGCGTGTTGCACTAGATGGTATTGAATGGCACTCCCTCCCTTCAGCACCTAACTCATCATCTTTCAGCTGTCTTCTTGTGAATGAGCCAGCCCAGGGAGGTACTAGATATTCTGTCCTATCCCAGAAAAGATATCTGCACATCATTCCAAGGCTATTTGTATCCCTTCTTTCCTTCCCAAGCTAGGAGGAAGATATTATTTTATACTCACTTGAGGTATGCTGGCTGTATTTACATGTATGCAAAACAGTGTATTTTACCTCATAGCCAAGTTGCTTCTGGTTCCGTCCTACTTTTCCACAGGTGGATAAACAAAGCCGATAGGTATAATTCATCACGATGTCAAGAACCTGGTTTGGGGTCCCCCCCCACTATC